TGTCATTGCTGTCATGTCATTGTGGAGGAGCCACAGGATGTTCACAAATTTGTCAGGGCACCCGATTTTTTGGAGGATGGTCCAAAGAGCATTCACTGTGTCAAATGCCTTTGCAAGGTCAATGAATGTCATGTACAGAGGCTGATTTTGTTCCCATGCTCATGCTGGAGGACTTCATTGCCATGATACTTCACCTTGTTGACGGGAAGCTTCCCACTGGAGTCATCTGTCGGACAGAGGGCAAGTTATTTAACCTCAGCAGACTGAAAGCCAAAACCAAGGTTACAACAACATCTGTTATAGAACTCCAGTATGCTGGTGACAAGGTCATCTGTGCGCATTCAGAAGATCTAAAAGCCACTCTAAACACCTTCGCAGAAGCATACGAGAAGCTCGGCCTGTCACTGAACATCGAGAAAACCAAAGTGCTGTTCCAGCAGTCACCAGCCAATCCCTCTCCAATGCCAGAGATACAGCTTAATGGTGTAACATTAGAAAATGTTGACCATTTCCGCTACCTTGGCAGCCACCTCTCCACCAAAGTCAACATCAACACCGAAATACAACACCGCCTGAGCTCTGCGAGTGCAGCATTTTCGTGAATGAAGCAGAGAGTGTTGGAGGACCGAGACATCCGTAGGGGTACCAAGGTGCTTGTCTATAAAGCTATTGTCCTCCCAACCCTGCTGTATGCCTGCGAAACGTGGACTGTCTACAGACGTCACATGCAGCTCCTGGAACGATTCCATCAGCGCTGCCTCTGGAAAATCCTGCAAATCTCTTGGGAAGACAAGCGGACAAACGTCAGCGTGCTGGAAGAAGCAAAGACCACCAGCATTGAAGCGATGGTCCTGTGCCATCAACTCCGCTGGGCCGGCCACATTGTCCGGATGCCTGACCACCGCCTCCCAAAGCAGTTGCTCTACTCTGAACTTAAGAACGGAAAACAGAATGTTGGTGGACAGGAAAAGAGATTTCAAGATGGGCTGAAAGACAACCTTAAAATATCTGACATAGACACTGAGAACTGGGAAGCCCTGGCCCTTGAGCGCTCCAGCTGGAGGTCAGCTGTGACCAGCAGTGCTACAGAATTCGAGGAGGCACGAGTGGAGGGCGAAAGAGAGAAACGTGCCAGGAGGAAGGTGCGTCAAGCCAACCCTGACCGGAACCACCTTCCACCTGGAAACCAATGCCTTCACTGTGGGAGAAGATGCGGGTCAAGAATAGGGCTCCACAGCCACCTATGAACCCACAGGGAAACGCATAATGGAAGACCATCTTACTCGTCCAACGAGGCATCGCCTAAGTAAGTAAGTAAGTAAGCTGGAGGACTGAGACATTCCTAGAGAGAGGAAAAACAGCAATTTTTAAATTTGTGGTTTTTCACTTCCACAAGGGTCCTGTGCCCCTAACTCCAGCGAATGGGGAGGGCAGGCTGTTTAAAGGCAGGGAGAGATGCCACAAAGCATAGCTGAGTGTTGCTGGCCCAATGCCCACAGCTCCAATGAAGAGAGGCTTTTGTCTTCCCCAGAGGAGGCTTGCCATTGCGCCAAGTGCCATTATCATTCTGCAAGGATCCTTCAAGCACCAGGCTTCCCCAGACTTGCAGGGAAGAGACGGCAGAGGAAAAAAGAAGGCTTCTTCGAAGGACGTTTCCAGATTCTGTATCTTTTAATTGAGCCAAAGACAGCCATTGCAAATGTAGAAACTGATAGAAAAGAGAAAATGGTTTAAGCTTCTGGAAGAGATGTGTCTCTAGCTGGAGCAATGTTTCTCTGTTAAATAAATAAAAGAATAAATAAATATAAATAAAAATGTAATGTTCGTTTGTGGGATTAACAGAACTCAAAAACCACTGGACGAATTGACACCAAATTTGGACACAAGACACCTTACAACACAATGTATTTTCTTCACTCAAAAAATTGATTTTGTCATTTGGGAGTTGCTGAGATTTATAGTTCACCTACAATCAAAGAGCATGCTCAACCCCACCACGATGGAATTGAACCAAACTTGGCACACAGAACTCCCATGACCAACAGAAAATACTGGAAGGGTTTGGTGGGCATTGACCTTGGTTTTGGAGTTGTAGTTCACCTACATCCAGAGATCACTGTGGACTCAAACAATGATGGATCTGGACCAAACTCTACACGAATACTCAATATGCCCAAATTTGAACATTGGTGGAGTTTGGGGAAAATAGAATCTTGACATTTGGGAGTTGTAGTTGCTGGGATTTATAGTTCACCTACAATCACAGAGCATTCTGAACCCCACCAATAGAATTGGGCCAAACCTCCACACAGAACCCCCATGACCACCAGAGTGGGCCACAGCAACGCGTGGCAGGGGACGGCTTGTAAATAAATAAATAATAGTGTTTATTACCCGCCTCTCATGATAAAATATATACATAAAATATATACCATATATTGCATAAACATAGATACAGAATTGACAGATAGTATCAATAGATCAGTTATGGCAGTGTTTCTCAACCTGTGGGTCGGGACCCCTGGGAGAGTCGCGATGGGGTGTCAGAGGGGTCGCCAAAGACCATCAGAAAACACAGTATTTTCAGTTGGTCATGGGGGTTCTGTGTGGGAAGTTTGCCCCAATTTTATCGTTGGTGGGATTCAGAATGCTCTTTGGTTGTAGGTCAACTATAAATCCCAGCAACTACAGCTCAAGGTCTATTTTCCCCAGATGTCACATTTAGGCATATTGAGTATCTGTGCCAAGTTTGGTCCTGATCCATCATTGTTTGAGTCCACAGTCCTCTCTGGTTGTAGGTGAACTACAACTCCAGAACTCAAGGCCAATACTCACCAAACCCTTCCAGCATTTTCTGTTGGTCATGGGGGTTCTGTATACTAGGTTTGGTTCAATACCATCGTTGGCGGAGTTCAGAACACTCTTTGATTGTAGGTGAACTATAAATCCCAGCAACTACAACTCCCAAATGTCAAAGTCTATTTTCTCCAAACTCCACCAGTGTCCAAATTTGGGCATATTGAGGAGTCATGACAAGTTTGGTCCAAATCCTTCATTGTTTGAGTCCACAGTGCTCTGTGGATGGAGGTGAACTACAACTCCAAAACTCAAGGTCAATACTCACCAAAGCCTTCCAGCTTTTTATGTTGGTCATGGGAGTCCTGTGTGCCAAGTTTGGTTCAACTCCATTGTTGGTGGAGTTCAGAGTGCTCTGATTGTAGGTGAACTATATATCCCAGCCACTACATCCCCCAAATGTCAAGGTCTATTTTCCGCAAACTCCACCAGTGTTCACATTTGGGCATACTGAGTATTTGAGCCAGGGTTGGCACAGATCTATCATTGAGTCCACAGTGATCTCGGGATGTAGGTGAAGTACAACTCCAAAATTGCCCACCAAACCCTTCCAGCATTTTCTGTTGTTCATGGGAGTTCTGTATACCAAGTATGGTTCAATTCCATCGTTGGTGGAGTTCAGAACGCTCTTTGATTGCAGGTGAACTATAAATCCCAGCAACTACAACTCCCAAATGTCAAGGTCTATTTTCCTCAAACTCCACCAGTGTTCTCATTTGGGCATATTGAGTATTTGTGCCAAGTTTGGTCCAGATCCATCATTGTTTGAGTCCACAGTGCTCTCTGGATGTAGGTGAACTACAACTCCAAAACTCAGGATCAATGCCCACCAAACCAAGTATTTCCTGTTGGTTATGGGAGTTCTGTGTGCCAAGTTTGGGCAAATTACATCGTTGGTGGAGTTCAGAATGCTCTTTGATTGTAGGTGAACTATACATCTCAGCCACTATATCCTCCAAATATCAAGGTCTATTTTCTGCAAACTCTACCAGTGTTCACATATTTAACAGTGTTCATATATTGAACATATTGAGTATCCGTGCCAAGTAAGGTCCAGATCCATCATTGTTTGAGTCCACAGTGTTCTCTATATATTGGTGAACTACAACTCCAAAACTCAAGGTCAGTGCCCACCAAACCCAGTATTTTCTATTGGTCATGGGAGTTCTGTGTGCCAAGTTTGGTTCAATTCCATTTTGGGTGGAGTTCAGAATGCTCCTTGATTGTAGGTGAACTATAAATCCCAGCAACTACAACTCCCAAATGACAAAATCAATCTCCCCAAACCCAACCAGCATTCAAATGTGAGCATATCGGTATTTGTGCCAAATTTGGGCAAATTCTATCGTTGGTGGAGTTCTGAAGGCTCTTTGA